CGGCTGTCAACAACAGCAGCAAAATCCATCACCACAACAACATCTGTACATAAATGCGCTCCAAAGGAAGCCCACAAAATACTTGGCACATTTCTGATGAGGATTTGTTTTGGGAGAAGAAAGGTTACAGGAGTGGTAACCTGCCCTCACAGCCATCTCATCATGCTCACCCAGGGTAAATGGCCCAGTGGTACTACCCATTATTGGGGGTTTTCTCTTTCATGAGTATGCCAGAAGTATGTAATGCTAAGACCATTTTTATATTTTGGTGTGGGGGGATGAAAAAAATTTTCAACTGACTTGCACCATCATTTTAGACACAGCTTATCTTCATTTCTGAGGGACTAACTGGAATGGCACAGCCAACACCTAAAAAGCCCTCATACTTGGGGTCAAATGCTATAATTTAATGACTCCCCCCCACAGTGAATACTTCCCTCAAGTNAAATACATTAAGCCTACTTCCCTTCAGTAAAGAATTCTTAATGATCAGCCCCGTGTTTGAAATGATTTCTTCTCAATCTCTTTGTAGAAAACAAGAGGAAATGTCTGAAACGACTTTGCTCTATTTTCCAGAATTAAAAAAAAAAGTTTCCAATATGTCCATTGAGAAAGTTTTATGTCTTCCTTACATGGCCTTAGAGTAATGGCTAGCTCTAAAAGCAGAGGAGAAAGGGGCCAATTCTAAAATTGTAATCTTTTAGTATGTATTAATGATTTAAATCTATGGCCAATTGGAGGAAATTCAAGTTGAAGGGAGGAAATTTAGTATTTTTGAAAATCTAAATTAATATTATGTCAAGCCCTGGCAGTTATTTTTAATTTTTTTTTCCAAATCACTATAATTAGAGATATGCAAATTTTTCACTGGGGAAAAAAGCTGAAAGAGGAACATGCACTTAATTAAGTAATGATTTTATCTTTATTAGATGGTATGAAAAGTGTTAAGTAAGGTTTAGAGCTTTTGAACTATAAAATAGTATTATTTCTTTCAGAACTAAAGGAATATCACACCAAACAATGGCAAAAGCCTGTGATGTCACTTTTTATACATTTTCCTCAGAAACAGTAGTTCAGATGTGGACTTCCTGGTATTCATATGATTTTAACCATTAAATTTTGTCACAAATAATGAGCTTAGAAAGCTAATGCTAGGTAGGCAAGTAAGGTGTTCAATTTCAGTTTTCAGATAGTCTACAGCCACTAACTTTTCTCTCTACATATTTTCAGTAACTTATTTTGGAAGAAAATTATTTTTAAAGGTAGCTACCAATGATTTCACATTTCAAGACTGCTACTTTGGTCCCAATAGACTCAAAGGTTACCGAATGTCATGCTAAAAAGTCCATATAGATTCTGGCAAGAGAGTGGTGGCTGCGATGGTGACAACATAATTATTGTATCTCCCCAGCCTGCCCCTAGACAAATAGAGCAGAGCCAAAAAAGAGAACATCTACACCAAAGCCAGGTGATAAGGTATCCACATTAACCTTATATATGAGGAGGTGGAGACAAGCTCCCAACAGCTTCAAGAATTGCCATTAGTCTTCCTGGAGCCCTCAGAGGCCATTCTGAGAACACCCACAGAAACTGGAAGAGGGCTCTTCAGGTTCCAATTTCACTAGTGAGTGCAGAGGGGGTCATGACCCATGTACATCTAGTGTATGGGAATGTTCTGGGGTGGGGGTGGTCTGATCTCTATGAACTAACAAACTAGAACAAAGCCCCACCATACTGAGGGGAAACTGCTGGGGATGAATCTAAGATGATGAGCAAAATAGGGGCAAAGGAAAAGGAAAGGTTCAGATGGNCAGTGAATACTTCCCTCAAGTTGAGAACACTCTAACTCAGACACCATAAGACAGGCAATTCTAGGTCTTTTTCATGAAAATTGAGAAGGTAATGACCTGTAGTCCCAGAACCTCCAACAATGCCTGCCATATAATAGGTACTCATTAAATAGTTTCAAATGAATCTCACTTTATAACTGATTCTGGTAATTCCTGTCAATAGATTTACAGTTGGGCATCTGGGACCAACCTCAGGCTTCACCACTGATTATTCTGGGAGCTGGCTTATTCTCAGCCAGTTCTTCCTCCTATAAAAAACGATAGGGATGGTGACAGTACTGCCTCTGATGCTTGTTGAGAGAACTGGAAATGTCAGGTAAAGGTCCCAGCACAGGGCCATGCACGCAGTTTCCAATTAAAGAGCGACAACTACATACAACACAGACATAATGCGAAATTTCAGGCGCCATAGAAAAACGTGTTGCCATGGAACAGTATACATGATTTATAAAGTCATTAAGAACAAATGTATGGATGAGTGGGAAAGACCAGGATGGGGATAAATGACTTAGCTGGGATCCCTTTATAAGACCATCGTATTATTTCCAGCAGAATAATGATCCACAATGTGTCCAGCTGCAGGGAATGACTATAGCCTCACACCTGCAGGAACAAGGGGTAGATATGATTCACTGCTCCCTGCAGGTTCACCCAGCTGAGCACAGGCGTTGTAAATACTGGAGTGGGGTGGGGAGGGCAGGATGGGGGGGGTAGATCAGTAGGATACCACCAAGTGGCTGGTCCCTGTGACTAGGAGAGGCTGAGGAATTTCAAGGAGGCAGCAAGAAATCAGGTGAAGAGTTCAGAAAAAGTGTAGCGTTCTACTCAGAACACTGGGAGAGGAGCATTTTGGACCCAAAGGATCATTCGTGATGCAGATGCCTCGCTGTCCTCTTTAGGCTTCTGGGGCCCCCAGAATTTAAGCGACCAGCCCAAAGGCACACCGCCAATAAATCGCTGAGAAAAGAAAAACCAGAGGGCAGCGTGAGGCTTTCTCACTACACCATACTGCACCTCCCTCCCCCAGAAGCCAGACGGTAAAATTCCCTTTGCCAAAAAAAATCTATTGAATGGAGCAGGCTAATTATGGGGAAGGAGGAAGCAATTGACTCATTTAATTTTTACAAAGAGAACCATTCTGTGTGGTTTGTCTTTCTAGTGCCCTACTGCGTCTGGTTCACATACCTTAACTGAAATTAAGAATGCCAAGGCACAAAGACAGAAGGACCAAACCTATCACTTGAAGCTTAGGCGATCAAATCCGTCACGGAGTCCACTCACTCATGATCCTTCCTACCGCACAGGAGTCCAGATGCAAGGCCTCTCTTCCCCCACAGGAAAGCCCTCACAATGCCTTACAAGACCTGGAAGAGGGAGGCTGGCTGCATCTTGAGACTTTAGGGAAAACTGAGCAGTAGTCCAGAGTCCCACAACAGTTCACTGCGATGCTGCCTTTGGAGCCGTTGAATTCCAGTTCAAACTCACTTTCTAGCCATCATCAGGGCAGCCTTAAAGGTATTTTAAAAAATAACCTAGGAGAGAACAGTACAGGGGTTGGCCGGGCCACCTGCAACTGCCTCACGCACTAGCAACACCCAGAAAAAAGGGAAGGGGCAGAAATCTGACTGAGGGCTTCCAGAAACCCCCGTCCTCCACCATAACACCTAAATTCCCGCGCAGATATAACCGGATTTTCACAGCAGCTTTAAGATCCAAGTAAGATTTGCAGAAAGTTCCACTCCATCTCCCACCCTCCTCCACCCCACCCCACCCCCACCCCCATCTCAGGCAGCCCTTAAGTATAGCTATCACGTGGGAGGGGGTGTTGTGAATCGCAAAATTCCCAAAGAAAACAGGGACCTGCGATTACAGGTCGCAGACACCGATTCGAGGGGCTAGCAGAACCCCCGCCAGCCTGGCCGGGCACTCCAGCTGAGCGCGGGAGGCGGCCGGAGTCAGGGACCTCAAGTGTCCCAATGCACCGTCCCTGTCTCCCCCAAGAGCAGACTGCAAACGCAGCCTCCAGCAGCACCGAGGCGCGTGGCAGGAAAAGAAACGGCACCGCGGCAGAAAAGGATAAGCGTCCAGCACGAGATTTACGAAAGCAAAAAGTCTGCAACCTAGCGGCTGCTTTCTACACACCCTGCCCAAGTTATCCCTGCAGCAGCCACCCCAGAACCGCACGCCGCGCACTCCCTGTACAAAAGCATAACCCGGGGGCCGGGAAAAGCCGCAGCCTTCGACTTATGCCCCCGGGTGGCGCCGCGAGCAGAGGCGGCAGTGGGTCGGTCCCCGGCTCTGGGGCACAAAGAGCGCCCGAGGTTGGAAAGCAGCAGCCGCAAAGAAAAGGCTCTCCAACTTTGCCCTCGGCGCTGCTGAGAACCTGCGGGCCGGTTCTCCGGTGCGCGGGTCACACACGCGCAACTTTTAACAAAAGGAAGAAGCGGCCGCGCCACGCACCGCGGAGATAACGCTCTGGGTGCAAACCCCGGACTCGCTCGCCTCTACCCCTGTGCACCCTCCGCACAAAAGCAACCCCAAACTTGCCCGCAGCCCGCGCCCTGAGCCTGCACCTCGCTCACACCTAACCCCCCTCGCTGTCCTCTTGCCCGGGAGACCCCAGCTCAGCGCCCCTACCACCAGCGGTTGGGGGCTCCTCCCGCAGGTGAGCGAGGCTGGGCGCAGAAGAGTCCCGCGGACGCCTCCAATCTTCCCGGAGGCTGAAACGCACAGGCACTGTGGACCGGCGGCCACCTCTCCGGACACACCCCAGCAACGAGTTGGAGCCCTCAAGGGCACAGGCAGCGGCAGGGGGCGCGACCCCGGTGCCCGCCGCGCTCTCCCACCTGTCTGGAGGCCGAGCAGGAGCAGCAGGACGCAGAGAAAATCCCCGGCGCCGCGAGCGCCTCTCATCGCGGTGGCTGCTCTGGGATCGGAGCTCCGTTCCACGTTCCAGCTCTCGCCCAAGTGCACCGAGCGCGGCAAAGCCGAGCCCCCAGAGCCGCGAGCGCCGAGCAGCAGCCCCTCCTCCCAGCGCCCTCCCTCTGCGCGCCGGCCACGCCCCTTCTCGGCGCCCCTCCTCGCCTCCCTTCCTCCCTCCCTCCTGCCTGAGTCTCCCTCCCTGCCGCGTTTGGCCCTTGCTCTTTCGACCTGGTAATCCCGTGGGGGCTAAGCCCACGGGGAGGAGGAGGGCACGTCCGCCTTTGGTGCCCGCCTTCGACCGCGGAGCCTCTTCATCTCTCCATCTTTCCTCCCCTGTGATGTGATCCGGCCACCAGAAGCGGTTCCCGGACGAGGGTGATGCTGCCGGCGCGCTTTGTGAAGCTGGGCACCACGCGCACATTAGGACACGGGCCCGCCACCTGGCAGGTGCTCCCCAGACAATAAAGGTCCGCCGCCCGCCCCTCGAGCACGCCCGCGAAGGAAGAGGCTAGACGCCGCAGGTGGTGGAGGTGGTGCGGGGGCAGAAATGGGGGAGGGCAGTGGAAACGGGGTGAGAAATTGGACCCCTATATTCTTTTCCATTCCTGTTAGTCGAGGGGGACCAAGCGCGGCGCCTGGCACCGCGGTAAAAGGCTGAGCCAGGGCGTAAGTAATTCTTTATGTTCAATTTCTCCACCTGCTCCCTAACCTGTAACAGCCCAGTTGGTTTCTATTTGTCGGAGTGGCCTCAGCTCAACAAGCTCCTGCCGAGACTTTTCTAGGGACTGGGGCTTTGGCGTGGGGAGGGGCTCCTTGCGAAGTTTGCTCGGGGATCCAAAGTCATTGTGCTAAACCCTCTGGGCGCCTTTTCTTTCTTTCTTTTTTCTTTTTTTTTTTTTTCTTTCCCTGTACGGTTTCTCTGCCTCTCTAACAGACGACAGTTACAGGGGTGGAGATCCCAGGGTTCCTCTTAGCTACCCTAGGCTGTACCAGAAGCAAAATAATGAAATGATTCTCTTAAGCCAGGTTCCACTGGCCTAGGAATTGCCTTACCCAAGGTAACAACACTACCTGTATAGGGTTTTATAGTTCCTTCTTACACTGAATATTATTTCATGCTCACAATAACAGTTTTGTGAGGTACGTAGACCAGATACGTTTATTATTTTGCAATAATTCTAAAAGTGGTTCAAGATCACACAGCTAACAGAGGGGAGGCACAGTCATTTTTAAGAATAACTCCAGGATGATGAGCTTCCCCTATGCATCCTAATAAAACAGTAAAACACCCTCCTCCCCCCCAGAGAGCTGAAGAATGGAAAATAAATAGAAAGGGAGTAGGGGGTGCCCATCAGAAAGTGATGGAATAATTTAGATATGCCTAGATTTTTCTCTAAAGTAGCATCCAAAATTTATAACTAACCAGCACACACACAGCCCCCACACACACAATTTATTTAATATTGAAAGCTCTCCTGTTTGATGTTGATAGGACCTAAGTTGGTTTAAGAAAAATGATTTTCAAAGCTAATCGCTTAAAAACTATCACTTCTCTTTATTTATTAATTAAACAAGCATTTAGGTGTGTTCTGTGAACTGGGAGGCACTAGGCACTGGAAGTACCATTATTAATAGACAGATGAGGGCCCTACCACAATCTTTACAGTCAAATGGGGGAACCCGCATCCCAATGTCCTAGCATGTGGTTCAAGTCATTTAGCTGTGGGAGAACTGAAATTCAAAGTTCTCTGTTTGTGTTCTAGGCCATTGGACCGTATCTTTTTCTTAGGATGACAGAGGTAAAAGCTACCATTCAAAGCAATCATAAGTTTCTGGGATCTTGATTTATTTCTAAAATCCATTTTGTAGTGAGAAAAAAATCACTATGGGTTAAAATACCAACAATATGCCTTAGAGAACATTTACAATTTTCTCATTCAATCAACTGATATTGGAGAGGATGACAAGTCTTCAGAAGAGTGGGTGAAAAGAGACCATATTGCAATTTAATTCTAAGCAGGAAATTTCTATTAGGAAAAATACCAGAATAGGGAATTATACAATGCTGGACTGTCATTCATATTCACCATTCTTCAACAAACATCTATTGAGCACCTAGGTAGGCACAAAACCTACAAAAATCAATAAGACAAAGTCCCTGCCTAGAGGGATTCACAGTCCAGGGAAATAATACCCAAATAAGAAACTATAATATCTCCTACCAGGGCTCCTGTGTAGCCAGTACACACCAAGTTGGCCATATTGATTGGTAGAATATTGGTAGAATATTGAAATCCTTCTGCACTCATCAGAAAGAAAGCCACTCCCCTAAACATCTAAGTGCTGCCTCAATCCAACCCCTTTCTTGAGATACCCCAAATCTCATCAGATCTGGCTATTAAAGGTTTCATGCTGGGCAGAGCAGAGAGCCTCCCGTCCCTGAGCCTTTGGGGTTAATACCCTCTGCCAGCTAATGTCCTAAAAGGAGGCATCCAGAAGAGGCTAGGAGTGAGCTGCTATCGGAATGAAATATCTTAGGTCATGTCCAACAGAAACATTTACAATTATGGAAATGTTTTATATCTCAGGATGTATGGAACCAGTTCTGTACTCTGTTTTGTGATAGCCCTGTACCCTTTCATGAATTATACTTTATGTTTTTTTTATTGTTTTTGTAATTGTATTCTTGATTGCAAGTTGTAGAAACCCAGCGTAAGCTGACTTAAGCAAACAAAGAAACCTAAGATTTATTGGCTCTTATAACTGCAAAGTCCAGGCATGATAATGTTCCAGACTTTCCCAGATCCAAGAACTGAAAGTCACAGGGACTCAAAGGTGTGTGTGTGTGTGTGTGTGTGTGTGTGTGTACATGCATTGTTCTCCATCTCCATCCTTCAGTAATACTTTCCTGTATTGCTTCCCTGTACTTGTGTACACTCAGGCAGCTCTAGGCTTACAGCTCATTGAGCTTTTCTGCCCCGGTAAACATCTATAAAAGTACTGACTTTGCTTAAGTCACATGACCATCCGGAACCAGTTACTGAAGCCAGATGGAATATGCGGATTGACCTGGTCTGGGTCACATGCCCACCCCTGGAGCCGGGGTTGGAGTCCACTTCACTCACATCATGAGGCCATTCTTAATGAAGAGGGGTGTGTCCTCACCAAAAATTGAGGTACTCTCACTGTAAGGAGGAATAATGCTGCACAAATAGAACAAAAGATGTTCACTATAGTCTCAGCACAAATCTCTAGCTTGAAAATTTTTATATTTCTGATTATCAAAGTAAAGATGCTTATTGTAGAAAATTTAGAAAATACCCAAAATGATAAAGAGTGAAACAAAACAAAATCACCCAAGATATAATTACTAAAGAGTTCATTTTGGTGTGTTTCTTTCAAATTTTTTTCCTGCTTATTCTAAGGGGTTTTTTTTTCCCTTTTATATAATTCCAGATTTTATATTTGCTAGTTTTCCATCCAGCTTTTTCACAACTCATAACATAAGCAGTCATTAAAAATTTCCTGGAAACATAACATAATGGCAGTATAATGTTCAGTTATATATATGTACCACAATTTTAGATGTTTAATCATTTCTCTATTTTTTTCAAGTTTTTTTTTTTCTACGCAAATTTCTTAGTGATGAATAACTTGGTGAATGAAACTCTCTTGCCTCATTTATTTGGGATAGATTCCTAGAGGTAAAATTACTGCAACAAGAGTATATATAATTCTTTGCAAGTTTGCTACTTAATAGTTCCCGTTTTTCCAATAACCATTAGAACTGGCTAAGTGTTGTCCCTTGTCCATAAAGTGGAATAAATGAATATATGATCCTTATTGCTAGACTCAATACTGACAATAACCACTTCACAGTTTGTGAGGATGAAAGAAGACGATGTATGCTCTTAGTTCAAGCTCTCATTCTGTATTTATTTATTGAACATCACCTATGTGCCAGATGTGCTACAATAATTGCTGGCAATGCAAAGTTCTACAAAACACAGATGCTGCCTTCATGAGATTTGCAGAGAAGGAAGAGAGACGCATAAGGGGGTCAAAGATGACATTATTATATGTACTTAAGAGAGCTCTATGCACACAGTGATGTTTGAACACAGGAGCACCTAAATCATATTGTACAGTTATCTCATCAGGCTCCCTCAAAGAGGTGACAATTAGATTAAAGGGGTCAGGGGGAGAGGAAAGCAAAGTAGGGAGGAGAATGCAAGGGTAGGAAGCACACAAACAAAGGGTGAGAGGCATGAAACAGCACCAAGAACCACCACTAGTGTGGCATGGTTAGGGAAACGGGGCCTATCGAGGAGGGGAAAAGTTGAGACCAAGGAGATGAACAAAAACCATTTCTGCCAAAAAACCACAAGCTTCACCCTCTGAGCTATGGAGACTCGCTCGAGTTTTTTACACCGGGGCCAGATCCGATAAGATTTACATTTTGGAAACATCGTGGAGAAGCTCGGTGAAGGATGCGTTGAAAGGGGCCAAACCTTGAGGCAGGAAGAAAATAGTGAGGAGCCTAATGAGGTGATCCATGGGAGAATGTGAACTGCATTAAGTCTGGGGAGGTGAGAAGGGTGAAAGGGGATGAATAAGAGAGAGCTAGGCCTTGAGCACTAACAGTATTGCGGAAGATGAGAGCGAAGAGGGACTCCAGGATGGTGCCCCGATTTCTGATATAAGCTACAATGTGCAAGCCTTCAGCAGACATGGAAGTAGGTTTGTAGTGGAAGGTGACAGATTTGGAGTTGAGCCTTTTGGGTTTGCAACGCTCATGAACTTCTGCAAAGCTAGACATGCAGGCCTGGAGCTCAGCAAAGGGCCTGGCACTAGGAAGGCAGCTGTAGTCAAGGATTTGGATGAGGTCACCCCGGAGAGAGAGTATATACCACACGGAAAGCAGACGCCTGATAGCACCTACAAAAACATTACTTAAGAGACAAGTAAGAAAAAAAAGATCCCACAGAGGATCCTGATAAGACAAGGTCAGAAAGGTAAAACCTAAGAGGGCTGTGGGAAGAGGAGATTTTTCAGGAAAGTAGCAATGTTCCCTTGTGTCCTGTCTCTTAGAACGTCAAATAAGATAAGGACAGAAATGCACTGATTGGAGTTTTAATCATAATAAGAACTTATAACGCCTGGGAAATTCTAAATTCTTTATATACACTAATTCTTTTAATCCTCACAATAACTCTACCTAGTAGGTACTCTACTTAGTAGGTCTCCTGATTTTACAGTTGAGGAAACTGAGGCACAAGGTAGTTAGGTAACTGGTACAAAATTTGCACCAGGATTCAAACCCTTGGCAGTCTGACTGCATAGCCCTGGTGCTTAATTACTGTAATAACTCACTTCCCTAGTTAACCTAGAGGTCTTGGTGCCTAAACGCATATTTACACACATGCACACATACAC